CTCGTCCTCCGCGGTCAGTGCGAGCGCCCGGACGACGGGCAGGAGTAGCCCCAGCCACTCCTGAGCAGCACCCTCCTCGTCTCCCTCGTCTCCCCCTCGCTGCTGCTCCTCATCCCTTCATTCCTCCTTCTCCTTCTCCTCCTCCTCCTCCTCCTCCTCCTCGCCTTCCTCATTGTCACGTCCTCATTTTCCTCCGACTGCTTCTCCTCCTACCTCTTCTTTCTCTATCCTTCTCTTCTTCCACTCCCTCCTCCCCGCCTCGGCTTTCTACATGTCCATTCTTTTGCTGCAACTGGTGTTCCTAGTCCTCCTCCCTCCCTGAAGCCTCCACCTCCTCCTTCACCCTCTGCTCCTCTCAATTCCTCCTGTTCCTGCTCCTGCCCCCTGTGCTCCGTCTGCTGTTCCTAATCCTCATGATCCTTCTGCTCCTCCTCCCCATCCCTCCCCTCCCCTATCCCTCCTCGTCATCCGTCTGCCTCCTCATCCACAATTACGTATTTACAGCGGCTGCTATCCTCTCCCCCTGACTTTTTCTGGAAGATGTTCGACCCTCTCCGCGAAATGGTAATCCATAGGACGTTCAACATAGATTTTCTTTTGATTGTTCACTAAGCGATTGCTTTCGTCGTTTCAACATGGGGCTCCCGCTGCAGCGTGGGCCCCATTTTCGGATCGGCGCTCTCGCCCCAGTGCGGCCCACTTTTCTGGATCCGAGTCCTAATATTTTTTATTGTGGTTGCCCTCCTCATTTCCAGTCCTCCGCCGTCCCCTGGTCCTTCTGCTCCTCTCGCTCCTTCCGCTCCAGCTCCTGCTGCTGTTCGCCCTCGTCCTCCTCCTTCCTCATCCTCCTTCTTTTCCTCCTTCAAATCTTCATGCTCATCGGCCACCTCCTCCTCCAATGTACATACCTTTTTTTGATTGTGCAAACCATGATGGGTTCCTCTTTGGAGTTCCAGGTCCGCCATGGAACGCGTCGGCGGATACAGAAAAAAAAAACGCAATGGGAATGGATGGGTGTGAAGGGCAGGATGTCATATTTGAACCGAACGCACCTTGCCTTTGCCCCCCCCCTCTCTCCTCCCCTCCGCCCCCTGTCATCGAAATTGGCTGTCAAATCGTAACTCGGCTCTCCGGCGGCCGTTCGGGACGATCCGGGCACTCCCGGAACGCTCTCGGCATGGCGCAGCTGCTGGAAGGCCTCCCGAGGCTGGAGAACCGCCGACGACCGAGGAAAACGTCCAAAACCTCGAGCCCCCAATTTCCCCTCCCCCCCCTGCCTCCTCCCCCTCTCCATGCAGGGGGCGGCCACCGCTGGGCACGGGCGCCCGTCGCGCCCCGCCTCCTCCCGATCTGGGGCTGGGCCCTGGAGCGGCATCCCGGCGCAGCAGAGGCGGACGGAACTCCGCGGGACAGCGGTGGAGGTTGGAAGCGGTCGGGGGGCTTGCGCTGGGTGTAGAAGCTTCCCAGATGGGGTCGGAGAGACCGACCGGAGCAAATATCGATCCCCCAAGTTATCCCGAGCTCCCAACATTAAGCAAATAAGCCCAGAGGAGGGGGGCCGCCACCGAGCGAATCGTTAGCACCCCAATGAGTTCTTGAATTGAATAATTCCTCGGTAGGCAGGCTCGAGAATCCTGAGGAATCCTTTGGACATCCTGCAGGGACCTTCAGGAATCAGTCAGGAAGCGGCAAGAGTCCTTAGGAACCCTTCAGGGATCATTCTTCAGTCCTCAAGAATCTTCAGGAGTCCGCAACAGGAATCCTTAGGAATCTTCACGGATCCTCCAGGAATCGTCAGACATCCTTCAAGCCACCAGGAACCAGGAATCCGCCAGGAGTCCGCTGGAATCTTTCAGGCATCTTCAAGAATCCTCCGACACCCGAAGTTCCTTCAGGAATCCTTCAGGAATCCTGCGGGGGCTTTCGAGGAATCCCACATAATTTCGCAGGAATCCTTCGGGCATCATTTTGGGGTCCTCAGGAATCTCCAGGAAATCTCGGGGGCATTCTGGAATCCTTCGGAGTCTTCAAGCATCCTCATGCGTCCTCAGGAACCACCTTGCTCGAACCCCAATTCTCGAGTATAAGACTCCCACTGTCCTTTTCACTCTTAGAAGGCTCCCCTCAACGTCTCGATGTTAACCGCCGAGGCTGTACTAAAATTGCCAGGCTGACTCACTATGAAAACTATGAACCCTAAATTAAAGCCTGTCGCTGGACTCCTGGCTCGGGCTGACTGGTACCTCCTCTTAGACAGGGGCCTCAACGGCCTCAAACAAGCTTTCTCCCCTCCTCTTCCCTTCTCCTTTTCCTCTCTGGACTAACTAACGGTATGACCCTTCGCCGAACTGCCTCAATCCCTAGTTACTTGTGGAGTGCAGAGGACGGGAAGTGGCGAAGAGGACGAGGGAAAAGAGGACAAGGAGGAGGCGGAGGGCGCCCTAGCACTGCGAGCGTGGGCGTATCACTCTCAGGATCATCCTCCAGTGCCATACTCGCAACTCCAAACAAGTGCGCTTTACATCCGAGTCCTGTCTTAGCACGGCGCTCAAAGCAACGCGCGCGGAATCGAGAACACGCTGGGTTGTGCCACTTCTCGCGTGGTCCCGAAAATTCCTGAACACTCCTGCGAAATACGGATGGTTCTAAAGGGATTTCTGGGCTGGTTAACCACCCACTCCTGGGGATTCCTGAGGTTTCCTTAGGGGTCTTTTGGATCCACAGAGATTCTTGAAAGATCCCGGGAGGATGCCTGAAGGATCCCTGAAGGAATCCTGATATATACTTTGGGATTCTTTCGGTGTCGGCGGATTCCTGTTGTTTTCTAAAAGCTCCTGGCGATTCCCACAGGAATGCTAATGAGAAGCCCTGGTAATTCGGGAAGACATCTGCGAATTCCAAACGGACTCCAGAACATTCCTGCCAAGCTCCGGCAAAATTCCTGAAGATTCCGAACGTTTCCTCAGGAATCCGGGAGTTTCGCGAGGATCCCACAAGCGTACTGGAGGTCAGGCCGTGTTAGGTTCAGGCCGCTCTAGATTAACTGATCTGTTCTGGGCCGTCTTGGGTTGGGCCGTCTTGGGCTGTCTTGGGCCGTCTTGGATCGGGCTGTCGTGGGCTCCATGTGCTCTCGCTGTTTTTTCCTCACCGCATGCAGTCGCGTGGCGAGGGGGCGCGCTGCCTGTAGCGCGAGCCACGCAGCAACCAGGACACGCCCCCTGGCCGCAGGTCCCCCCCACCCACATCCTCCTCCCTGAGTGTTTCGGGGTCCTGTAGGTTTTTGCACAATCCTGAGGGTTCCTTGAAGTGCCTGAAGATTTCTGAGAGATTCCTACAACGGATTCCTGGATATTCTTGTAGCCTACCTGCTCGTCTTTGAGGGGATCGATCCCGAACGCGCCCAACTGCCCCATCGGAGCACCCGGGGGCTCGGCGCCGGGCATGCGCACCAGGTTGCCTGCGGTGAAGACGAGGGAAAGAAGAAGAGAAAGGATGGAGACGCATGGACGGGGCAGCAAGGCAAGGACCCTTCCAGGGCTCGCCCCCCCCCCCCAGGAGAGCCCAGGATCGAATCGATAAATCGGATCGGCAATCGACATGAATCGGATCGGCGGGAATCGGCAGCCGAATCGGGAAAAGTCGAATCGGCGGAAATCGGCAGGCTAATATGCCTCCAATAAGAAATCGGAATCCAAATCGGAAGCCCAAATCGAATCGAATCGGAATCGGAATCCATCGAAGTCGAATCGAATCGAATCGGAGGAATCGAAATGAGCCCGGCAGCGCTCCCGCGGCCGCCGCGCGAGCTTCAGGATGGCCGTGTCCGCGTCCACGCCGTCGCCGAAGAGCTGCTCGAGGAGTCCCCTGCGGCGCCCCTCGCCGGAGCCCCAGGGGAGGAGGAGGAGGAGGAGGACGACGAGGAGGAAGATGACGAGGAGAAGAGAGAGAGAGAGAGAGAGAGGCGAAGAGCGAAGAGGGTTGATGAGAAGGAGGAGGCGGAGGAGGAAAGGGAGGCAAACGAGGAGGAGGAGGAGGAGGAGGAGGACCAGTGTAAACATAAAACTCATCAGCCATGTTGAAATATGCCCTCCCTGTAAGGGGTCACTTCCACTGAGGGAATTGCCCCGTTGGGGGACAACCGTGTCAACATCTTGAAGCGTGCCACAACACCATGCTCAAACATTCAAGTCTACGAACTCACCTTACTGTTACGTCTTGGCGATCCGGAATGGTGCCAAAACGCCGTGCCTGGGAAATCAGCACCGCGAATCATCGTAACTGTTCCGCCCTAACAATCCAGAGTCGTTCCAAAACACCATTTCTGCTCCGCTAGCCATGAGAACCAGTGAATCTCTTGCACACCAAAAAAACGAACGTGCGCGGCGCAAAAACGAAAACGACATTTTGAAAACCACCTGCCATCAATACGTGAAGCTCTTGCGCATTTTGTAGAAAAAAAACGAGTGTACGCGGCGATAAGGCGAGAACCACATTTTGCAAACCACCCGCCCTCAATCCGTGAAGCTCTCCCAAATTTGTGCAACGAGTGTTCGCGGCGCTAAGGCGAGAACCACATTTTTAAAACAACCCGCCCTCAACCCGTGAAGCTCTTGGAATTCTTACAACGAATGTGCGCGGCGCTGAGGCGAGAACCACATTTTGAAAACCACCCCGCCCGCAATCCGTCATATTTCTTTTTTGGGTTGTTTGTATGTATGTATGAATGTATGCATGCATGTATGTATGTATGTGTGTATGTATGCATGCATGCATGCATGCATGTATGTATGTATGTATGTATGTATGTATGTATGTATGTATGAATGTGTATGTATGTACGTACGTACGTATGTACGTATGTACGTATGTACGTACGTACGTACGTACGTACGTACGTATGTATGTATGTATGCATGCATGTATGTATGTATGTATGTATGTATGCATTTATTTATTTCTCATCCAATACAGAATATAAGGACCCCCCCAGGATGGGGGGGGTAATTTTTTCTGCCCCAGCAGGGTCATTTCCCTTCGTCTTTTTACGGGTTTCCGCCTCTAGGAGGCTCTCCGGCCCGTGTTTGGCCGCTCTTCGGGCGTCTTCGGCCACCTTGACCATCTCGTCGGCCATTTCGGGCGCCTCCTCGCCCCTCCGGATGCTTTCTTGCGCCGTCTTGGGACCCTTTTTGGCGCCGCTTGGGCAATGTTCTAACGGTCTCGAACGCCCCCAAACAATCATTTCCCTTGGCTTCTTAAACGTTCTCGCCTCTAGCAGGCTCTCCGGCTCGTGTTTGGTCGTTATTCGGCTTTCTCGGCCACCTTGAGTTTCTTTTCGGCCTTTTTGGGCGCCTCTTGCGCCCGTCAGGTTCCTTCTTGGGCCGTCTTCGGATCCTTTTGGGAGCCTATGGGGCCATGTCCTCACGGTTTCGACGCCTCTTGCGCCGTCAGGAAGCGTGAGGAAGCTCTAGAACTATAAAGCCCAACGCCGCTTGCCCTCTTACGCTTTTAAGCTCTTGCGGCCCTCCTCGGAAGCTTCTCGGGTTGTCTACGCCCCCGCTTCTCTACCATGCGACAGCTTATGTTCGCACCCAACACGCTGCAGACACCCTCCCCGACAGGGAAGCAGCGGATTGAATTGAGCGGACTCTAACCATTTACGCCCACAGGATTCGTTGAATTATTAAGGACACCTAGACAAACTCCCCCCCTCATTTGGCAAATTGCAGACGCTTCGCGTATACCCGCCAGCTCTCCCCCCCCCACGGGCCGAACCTATGCGCCGTCTGCGGAGGGCATTGGTGGGCCTCTTCGCAGCAGGACGACACAGTGGTGCTCGGACAGTCGCTGGTGTCCACCGACTTTGAGGGTTACTGTGCCTGAATGCCTCGCCTTGAGTGTTGCTGCCTGGTACAGCCCGCGTTTTACGCATAGTCGCACCATCCCCGGGCCTTCCCCGCAGGTGCTGGACTCGTTGCGTTGGTTGCCGCCGGCCCCCCCAACTCTGCGGTGGAGTTTGCTGGCTGTGCGCTGAGTGGTTCAGCCTTCCGCGCCTTCGGCCCTTGTTTTCCACCGCCAGCAGCCTGTTACCCGGGCTCGTGCATCGTTGCTAGCCTGGTCGGCTGCTCGGAGCTTGGCGCCGCAAGGGCGACTCACTCCGTTGCACTCGCACTCGTGGCCGCTTGTACACTTTGGTTTTCTGGGCGGCGCCTAGGTGCGTCTGCTAGTGAATGTGGAGCATTTTGTTCAGTGCATGTGCACCGCACGCTCTGTGTGCAATTAGCTTTGTGCCACCCGCCCCGGACATTGCCTGTTGCCGCCAGACCGTAGTCGAGCGGCCGCCGACCAAAAAAGTATACCCGCTAGCACCCTCTCTCACCAGCACACAAACCAACGGACAGCAGCGCCCCAGCGGGAGAGTCGGACAGCCGCTCGTCCTCCCCTCCTGGGTGGCGCGGCCGTCGCCCACAGACTGGCAGCTCCAGCACACCCGCACCAGCCCCCCAGGCCACTCCCCTCCCCGCCAGCGCAAAGCCTCCGCTCGCCAACCCCCGCGAATGGGGCCCCAAGCGGGTGTTCGATGGGCTCCTCGACACCCTCGGGGGGGGTCCCATGTGCAAGGAGTGGCTGGCCAACGTCGATCTCGATAAGCACGCGGAGCCACCCGCTGTCAAGATCTCCAGGCTCCAAAAACCCTCGGGGGGGTATTCAGCAGCGTTTGGCACGCCTACACTCGGAAACACCCCGCTCCTAATGGCCCGAAGTGTGACCCCGCCCTAATCCCGAGAGCACGTGCCGCGCTTTCCTCGACGCCTGGAAGCGCTGTGGGTACGACGCATACGAGATGGATCGTAAGCACGAGCTGCAGGTCATTTGGGGCCGTGAGCGCGACAAGTGGTCAGGACAGCAGGGTACCAGCTCCCAGCAACACAGGGGACACGCCCTGGGTCCAGCTCCCAGCAGGGTACCAGCTGCCAGCAGGGTAGCAACTCCCAGCAACACAGGGCACGCCACCAGCTCCCGACAACCCTGGGTCTGGCCCGCTTGGTCATGGGGGCAGGGTTGGGACGCCGATGGCTGGCAGGCAGCGGGCAAGCGTGGTGGAGAGGATAGCGGCGATGGGCGGGGAGACAAGCGCTCCCGCACATGGCTATAGGGTTCCTCCCTCCCGCCGTGTCCCAGCGTACCCCATTCCGACCTCGCGTCCCTCGCCGGACGCGTTGATTTCGCCCCGGTACCCACCCGCGCCCGCCCCGCCACTCCCGACCAGACGCCGACCTGACGCCCCTGCAGACTGCCCACGCCCCCTCCCCTCTCTCGTTGCCCTGGCCCCGACCTGACGGACTCACCGGGGCAGCTCCCCCGCTTCTCCTCCTGTGGGCCCGTTAGGCCACTTCGGAACGGGTTTCGCTGTTCTCGCTGGCCGTCAATTGGGGCCCGTTAGGCCAATGGTTTCGGTGTCTGTCCTCTTCCGCCCGACGCGGTCACTTTCTTCCCTGGCTCGACGTCCGACCTGCGGCCGCTGTGGGCTCGGCGTGGACCTCCGACCCCGGTCCTCGCTCGCCCTGGCCAGCCCGAACCGACACCCACCCGACGCCCCAGTGGACAGCCGACCGCCACTCCCTCTGCAGACGTACTGACCTTGACCCAAGGGGTCCGCCGGGGCTTGCCACCAGCTCTCAAAGTAAAACGGGGCCCGTTAGGCCATCCCGGAACGTGTTTCGCTACTATCGATATCCATACATTGGGGCCCGTTAGGCCAGTTGAGTCAGAACGTCACCCACATCGTGGGCTGGGGTCACTCGCCCTCCCTGCCTCGACCTCCGACATGTGTTTGACAGGAACTTGGCGTTGGGCCCCGACATTGGCCCTCGCCCATACCTCCCTGGGCCCGACGCTCGCAGCATCAGCTGCAGCCGCAGCCCGACTTGCAGGCAGTGCTACCTCTCTGGGACCACCCCCTGCCCAGCCCCCGTCGCTCCGTCCCTCCAGGAGCGGGCCCCGCGTGTGCTGACTTTGGTGACTCGAGGGACACTACGTGGCTGTGGCCCACTTGTCTCTCCTTCGTCTCACTCCGGGCGTGCCACTTCATTCCCACGGTGGCCGCCTGCCGTGCAGGCAGAGTTCCGTCCCTGGTGCCTCTCCTGCCCAGCCCCTACCGCTCCCCGACCTTGGGGCTTGAGCTGTGGGTCTCGCTGGCAATGCTGACTTGTGGGCGGCTGCTGGGGCAGCAGTCCATCTGTCCAGTACCGGCCTTCGGCCTGCTGTAGCTGTTCTCACCCCTGGGGCGCGTGTCCCGCGCCACCGGGCGGCCCACAAGGTCGGGGCGCCCCCCCGCCCCCCCCTCTGCGGTGCCTGGCTTCGGCCCCTTGCCGGGTGGCGGCGGTTCTGTCCCCGCCCGGCCTCTTCATTCCGCGCAACTCGCGGTTCATCTCGGGCCCCGTCGGGTGGTGGTGTTGTCCCCCCATTGCTTCGGCTTCGGCCTTTCCGCTCAAATCGCGGTTCCTCATCCTGGGCTAGCCGCCGTCCTGGCTTCGGCTGGTCTAGCATTCTGAGCGTGCGGATGGTCCTTGTTCGGCTTCCGCTCATTGGAGGTACTCGTACGCTCGTCCTCCCTGGTGTCTGCCCTGTGCAATGTGCCTCGACGGGCCCGTCGCCGTCGTCGTCGCCGGTGCCGTCGCCGCTACCGTCGCCGTCGCCATCGCGGTCGCCGTCGCCGTCGCCATCGTCGTCGTCATCGTCGTCGTCATCGTCGTCGTCATCGTCGCCGTCGTCGTCCTCGTCACCGTGGTCGTCGTCGTCGTCGTCGTCGCCGCCGTCGTCGTCGTCGTCGTCGTCGTCGTCGTCGTCGTCGTCGTCGTCGTCGTCGTCGTCTTCGTCGTCGTCGTCATTGTCGTCGCTTCTGCCCGACGGCGACGGCGCCAGCGCCAAGTGTGGGGGCCCCCCTCGGTTCGAATCCCCCACCATGGCAACTCAGATGGGGAGGCCCTGTGCGCGTTGTCGTCGTCGCCGTCCCCGTCTCCGTCGACGCCGTCGCCGTCGCCGTCGCCGTCGCCGTCGCAGCCGCCGTCGTCGCAGTCGCCGTCGCCGTCGCCGTCGCCGCCGCCATCGCCGTTGCCGTCGCCGTCGCCGTCGCCGTCGTTGTCGTCGTCGTCGTCGTCGTCGTCGTTGTCGTTGTCGTCGTCGTCGTCGTCGTCGTCGTTGTCGTCGTCGTCGTCGTCGTCGTCGTCGTCGCTGCCCGACGTCGCCGCCGCCGTCGTCGCCGCCGTCGCCGTCGTCGCCGTCATCGTTGCCGCCGCCGTCGTCCTCCTCGTCGCCGTCGTCGTCGTCGTCGTCGTCGTCGTCGTCGTCGTCGTCGTCGTCGTCGTCGTCGTCGCCGTCCCCATCACCGTCGTCGCCGTCGCCGTCGTCGTCGCCATCGCCGTCGCCGTTGCCGTCGCCGTCGCCGTCGCCGCCGCCGTCGCCGTCGCCGTCGCCGTCGCCGTCGTCGTCGCCGCGTCGTCGTAGCCATCGTCATCGTCTCTGTCGTCGTCTTTGTCGTCTTTGTCTTAGTCTTTGTCGTCGTCGTCGTCATCATCGTCGTCGCCGCCGTCGCCGCCGCCGTCGTCGCCGTCGTCGGTTGCGGGGGGTGGGGGCCCCTCTCGTCGTCGTTGCACAACGGCGCCAGCGCCCGTGATTGCCGTCGTCGTTTGCAAAGGGCGGGCGTTCGAACCCGTCCCCCCCCTTGGACAGCCACCCCCCTTCCGGTTCGAGGCGTTCGACGGGGACGAGGAGGACGAGGAGGAGGACGAGGACGAGGAGAAGGACGAGGAGGAGGTCGCCCCTCGTCCTCCCCGAGGGGGTGGCCCCCCCCGCCCCCGATTCTAACTTCCCCCCCTTTGAAGGGAGGGCCCGCCCCCTCCTGGTTCGAACGCCCCCCCCGCATCTGAGGGGGGAGGGCCCCCCCCTGGCTCGAACATCCCCCTCCCTTGCATCTCAGGGGGGAGGGCCCGCCCCCTGCATCTCAGGGGGGGAGGGCCCCCCCCCGCCCTTGCATCTCAGGGGGGAGGCCCCCCCCCCCAGTTCGGACTCCCACCTCCCTTCCCAGCGTCCACAGAGAGCGTTCTTGCAGAGAGGAAGAGCGGACGGGCTGATGCAGAGACGCGGGTGGGTCGGCCAAACTAACGTTAGGTCGTGCGTCTCCTCCTACAGGCGGATTTAGAAGGAACAAATGGAACATAGGTGAAAACATTCAAAATATGTCAAACAATACACAGCACATCGTTCCCATACTTTTTCTGTGAAAAAGCTGTGTTGGAATACTCCTTCTGTAGAGGGACAGGCCCGAATTAAAACGAACGCACAACGCAGCGTCGGCCAGAGCACACATGCCACATCCAAAGCAGGACTGCACTGCGTGGCAGTGCTGCGGCGCGCGCAGGCGTTTTCCCAAAGCGGCAGGACGGGCAGGCCCCGCACAGTGGCCCGGGTCAGACCGTGCGGAAGCCTGATGCAGCACACGATGGGCGTCAGGCCACCAGTTGATGGAAATAGCACGCGTAACAAGGAGAGACGGGAGAAGAGAGGGAAGGAGGACCAACCCGGCGACATTCCAACATCGTCGCGGGAACAGAGAGGGAAGGATAACTATCCTGGCGGCACTCGAACTCCCCCAAGCTAGCTCGAACATTGCACTCGCCAGAACATTATGGGGTTTGTGCATTCCTCGTTCGCCTCTCCGCCCCCGCTGACCTGATCTTTGCATCGCCAATGGGGTCTGCACCTGATACATGACTTCGACACCAAACCGCGTGCGACGATGTCGGCCCTGAGAGAAATGAAGCATACCCTACGCAATCGGTGCAAACATGCCAGCCTACACTATACTGCTTCGAAAGGGCGATCCCCGAGCTCTTCGGCATTTCTGTTTCCATCCTGCCTCCTCCTTGTCCAATGCCGCCGCTCTTCCTCAACTTTGATGAAGTGCCTCAGCTGCCTCTTGCTGTCGCACTCTTAATGAAGCTGACTCCCCGAGTTGTTCATCCCCACGAGTGACACCTTCTCCTCCTGTCTGGTGTTCTGCTACTGCTGCCGCCATCCTCCCTATCTCTTCCTCGCCCTCCAACTCGTACTCCTCCCGTTGAAAACTCTACGACCATATGCAAACCTAGGTGGGCTCTGGGGGGCCTCAGAAACCATCCGAAGCAATCCGAAACGGAAAGGGACCCTGTACCAGGAAGTGAACCAAGCACCTCCTCCTCCTCCTCGTCCTGTTCTGGCAGCGCCTCGCTGTCCCCACGCCCCCCTCCTCTTCTGGTCGGCGAGGGGCTCCTCTATGAGCAGGTGCTCCCCGAGGCGGAGGAATACCGCCTGTGAGGCAGTATCCCTGCATCCAAAGATTGAGCTGCAAAAGGGAGGAGAGGGGAGGGGAGATGTAGGATTATGCCAGGGATGACGGGGACGATGAGGTGGAGGAGGGAACAGAGGGAACGATAATGATAACGAGATACGGGTGATGCTGATGAGGAGGAAGAGGAGGAGTAGGAAGATGAGAAGAAACTGGGGTTGGAGTAATCTGACAAGCAAGATGTGGAGGAGTGGCAGCTGCGGAATACGAATTGGAGAGCTCCTGCTGGCCCAGCACCTTCTTCAGGGGCTGGCTGTAAAAGCTTCGTCAATGCATGTGCGTTCGTGTTCTGATCGAAAGGGGCACGAAACACAAATCAGTGATGATGTCGCGCAGAACGAAGAAGCCCGCAGCGAAACGAACCACCGAACAAGCAGGCATACCTTACGATGAATATGTGCGCGTCGTTCGCGTTCAGCGTTCGACAGGCACTGGCTGCAGTCAGCATGGAGCATGGTTCTGATTTGCAGGCTGAACAGGGTCGCCTCGTCGGCGTTGCCATCGATCAAGAAGCCATACCTGCGCAAATCAAGCGCCCAGAGCTTTCCCCGACGCAATGGTTCTGATCTGGTGAGCCATTGTACTAATGATAATGCGTAAGGTGCGTAAGCAAGCTAGTCAAGGAGAGCACAGACAGTGGGCTCCTGGACGCAACTAGCACACGAGCACGCGCACACGCACCTTCACATACAAATGACGCAGTTGAGCGCCACACGCACGACATTACACAACTCAAGGCAACACAGTCCAGAACACATCACACCACAATACAAACAACACAAACACAACACGTACGTATCACACACATACACTTCTTTCGGGGGTCAGCATGGTACGTCGGACTGGAAGGCCACCCAGGAGTCCACCGCCGAGGTATGACCGCGAGAGGCAATATTTGAGGACATCGGGCCTACGGGCCTTTGGATCCCCATGCCTGCACTGGGGAGGAACGTGCTCCGGTAGTTGTTTACCCCGCTGCAGCGTCGCAGCAACAGCTGGTCAGCAAGATGGAGAACACATCAACTTAATTTGCAATCGCACGTTTGATGGCCGCCCTCAAGCCGAAGATGTGTCCTGACATAACAGGTTAGGGGCAGGCTCCTGCGAGCGGCGCAAAGATGCAAGAAGAGGATGCCAGAACCGACGCGGCGTGCAGAATGGACAAAGTCGCGCACGCGTCGCGTCCAACGAGCTGGGGAACAATTGCACCAGAGAGAAAGCCCAATCAGTCGATGGTCCGAAACTTTAGCAGCCACCATGCCTTGCCGCAGTTTCGCTGGAGGACCCGAAGAAGTCGAAAGCACGAATTCCCATTCAATTTTAGAAAAAGGTTGTAGCCACTCGCGTTTTCGGGCGCTCGTCGGTGCAAGTTGGTCCAAGAGGCATCCAAGATAGACGATTTGAGAGGGTCGGTGGACGGTCCAAGATGGCCTCAAGGCGGCTCCACGACGGCCGCAAGAGACTTTCCAGACGGCGAAGGAAGGCCCCCAAGACGGCTTAAGAGAGCCCGAAGACGACCCAAGAGGACTCCAAGGGATCCCCAAGACTGCTCCACAGGAGCCCAAGATGACGCCTGGACGGCCCCGGTGAGCTCCCAGAAGTGAAGTTGAGACTACATGTCAAGGCGTTGCTCTTCTGTCTCCTCCTGGTTGCCATCATCAGCAGCATCCTCATTGCCATCACCATCATTATTCTCATCGTCCTACTCATCATCTTCGTCATTGCCGTCAGCTTCCGCTCCTCCCTCTTTGGCGTGGGCCAGGCACTCAGATTCGGGCGGCGTGGTAGCAGGAGAAACAAGAAGATGGACACCATACCGTGAGGGCACCGGACAAAGAACCACTGGACCAGGAACTCAGGGTCTGGAAGCCAGCGGAAATCCAATCGTGCATTGGCCATGCATAGCACCGCCGCCCTCACCAGAGAAGTGACCCCCCAGGGTCTGCAGCCTCCCGGGCCCATTCCTTAACCTAACGCCTCCACCGTGCTTACGCGAGGAGCCTGCGGCGGAGGCGAAGGAGGAGGGAGCAGTGCACTCCCATGCTTTGCGATGCGCAGGCGGGGGCGGGCGCAGAGCACTCTTACGTGCGGACGGCTCCGCACTGCTCGGCACTGCGTGGCATCGCCGAGGAATCTGCGCGGCCCTGCTCTGGTACATACGCCGACCATGTCCAAACGTGCCCCTTGTTGCCTTAGGCTGGTCACTCATGCTGGAGCGCTTCACGTGTCATTGGCATTGCAATGCTTTGCATTGCTTGGCATTGAACGGCATTGCCTTTGCACTGTTTGGCGATGCTTGGTATTGCCTGGGGGTGGCAGAACACCCAAACCAAGGAAGACCGAGGGACCCGAGGAACCCAACAGGGAACCAAGACCAAGGAATCCGAGGAACGCAGCATGGAACCAAGAACAATGATGCCCCCCCACTTTACTACATACGGCAGGTTCGCGTCGTGTCGACCGGCGGCGACCCCAGCGCGGGCGTTTAAGGTTGAACGTCACATGTGGCCTAGAATCGGCCCATCCTTGAACGATCTGGCCTTTTTGAAAGGGCCGATCGTTCAAGTTTGAACGATCCCCGCGGTGTCAGGAACCAACGTTAGGGTCGACACGACGCGAACCTGCCGTACGTATCTGGTGAACTCTCGTTCTCGCCGGCCTCTGACAGCCCAAGACGCCCCAAGAGGCCTGCAAGACCTCCTCAAGAGGCCTCTGAGATCACCCCCAACGGCCCAAGAGGCCCCCAAGAGGGCCCCAAAACGGCCTAAGAGACCTCCAGCATCGCCCTCAAGCGCTTTGCTCTCGGCAACCCTCACGCCCTATTCATTGGTTTGACTGTGTGCTCCCTGTTCTCATCTACATGTGCTCACTTTCCCATCTCTCTCTCTCTCGTCCTCTCTCTCTGCCTCCCTCTCTCTCTGTCCGTCTACGATGTTTACGGTTGTCTCCAGCTTCACTGCGCACGACATTGTCTGACAGTTCCTCTCTACTCTCTCTGCTCCATTCTGCCTTGCACTCTCGGGTGTGTACCCTTTGCCCTCTACTCACTCTGACCGCGGTTGCAAAGACTCGGGAACCCTGTATTCTTTAAGATCTACTCTCCACTCTCTCTGATCGACTCTTCTCGCAACTCTCTGATTCCTTCATTACCTAACAGCGAAGACTGATAGGTTTCTAGCAGTGTCAAAAGAAAGCATCTTGACTCCCCAAAGGGGTCTGGGCGGGTGCCGGGGAGAAGCCGCGGAAGTCGTTTTAAGCAAACAGTTACACACTTCGTGGTCTTCGAGGTCTCAGAACTCCATTCCCGGGCCACATTCTGAATGCCCGGAGCCAACTGTAGGCCACTTCGTGCTCTTCGAGTTCCCAGAACTCCATTCCCGGGCCACATTTTGAATGCCCGGAGCCAACTGTAGGCCATTTCGTGCTCTTCGAGTTCCCAGAACTCAACTCCCAGGCTACATTTTGAATGCCCGGAGCCAACTGTAGGCCACTTCGTGCTCTTCGAGTTCCCAGAATTCCATGCCCGGGCCACATTTTGAATGCCCGGAGCCAACTGTAGGCCATTTCGTGGTCTTCGAGTTCCCAGAATTCCATGCCCGGGCCACATTTTGAATGCTGAGGCAGGTTGATGCTGAGGCTGAGGCTGAGGCAGGCTGAGGCTGAGGCCTGAGGCTGAGGCTGAGGCTGAAGCAGGCTGAGGCTGAGGCTGAGGCAGGCTGAGGCTGAGGCTGAGGCAGGCTGAAGGCAGGCTGAGGCTGAGGCTGAGGCTGAGCAGGCTGAGGCTGAGGCTGAGGCTGAGGCAGGCTGAGGCTGAGGCTGAGGCAGGCTGAGGCTGAGGCTGAGGCAGGCTGAGGCTGAGGCTGAGGCAGGCTGATGCTGAGGCAGGCTGAGGCTGAGGCTGAGGCTGATGCAGGCTGAGGCTGAGGCAGGCTGAGGCTGAGGCCGAGGCTGAAGGCAGACTGAGGCTGAGGCTGAAGCAGGCTGAGGCTGAGGCTGAGGCAGGCTGAGGCTGAGGCTGAGGCTGAGGCTGATGCTGAGGCAGGCTGAGGCTGAGGCTGATGCAGGCTGAGGCTGAGGCAGGCTGAGGCTGAGGGAGGCTGAGGCTGAGGCAGGCTGAGGCTGAGGCAGGCTGAGGCTGAGGCTGAGGCTGAAGGCTGAGGCTGAGGCAGAGGCTGAGGCCGAGGCTGAGGCAGCTGAGCTGAGGCTGAAGCAGGCTGAGGCTGAGGCTGAGGCAGGCTGAGGCTGAGGCTGAGGCAGGCTGATGCTGAGGCAGGCTGAGGCTGAGGCTGAGGCTGATGCAGGCTGAGGCTGAGGCAGGCTGAGGCTGAGGCCGAGGCTGAAGGCAGACTGAGGCTGAGGCTGAAGCAGGCTGAGGCTGAGGCTGAGGCAGGCTGAGGCTGAGGCTGAGGCTGATGCTGAGGCAGGCTGAGGCTGAGGCTGAGGCTGATGCAGGCTGAGGCTGAGGCAGGCTGAGGCTGAGGCCGAGGCTGAAGGCAGACTGAGGCTGAGGCTGAGGCAGGCTGAGGCTGAGGCTGAGGCAGGCTGAGGCTGAGGCTGAGGCTGAGGCTGAGGCAGGCTGATGCTGAGGCAGGCTGAGGCTGAGGCTGAGGCTGATGCAGGCTGAGGCTGAGGCAGGCTGAGGCTGAGGCCGAGGCTGAAGGCAGACTGAGGCTGAGGCTGAAGCAGGCTGAGGCTGAGGCTGAGGCAGGCTGAGGCTGAGGCTGAGGCTGAGGCTGATGCTGAGGCAGGCTGAGGCTGAGGCTGAGGCTGATGCAGGCTGAGGCTGAGGCAGGCTGAGGCTGAGGCCGAGGCTGAAGGCAGACTGAGGCTGAGGCTGAAGCAGGCTGAGGCTGAGGCTGAGGCAGGCTGAGGCTGAGGCAGGCTGAGGCTGAGGCTGAGGGAGGCTGAGGCTGAGGCTGAGGCAGGCTGAGGCTGAGGCAGGCTGATGCTGAGGCTGAGGCTGAGGCTGAGGCTGAGCAGGCTGAGGCTGAGGCTGAGGCTGAGGCTGAGGCTGAGGCTGAGGCTGAGGCTGTGACTGCGACTGCCGTTGCCACTGCGACTGTCATCGCGAATGCGACTACGACTGCGAGAACAGCAGAATTCTACAACTGGATTCTCATCTGAATCTTAAAGGGAATGCTTCCAGATATGCTCCTACACATCGCTGTTAGGTTGCTTTGCCGGGATAATTTTTTACAATCAAGATCTTGATGCGCTTGGCCGCAACCAAAACCTCCCAAACCCTGGAACCTGACACAGCCACGAAACCCAGAACCGGGAATCCAGGAAGCGGCAACAACCCGCCTGCCTACGGGAATCTGATACCCCAAGAACGCCGAACCCCAAATCAGGAACCCGGGACCCCCCGCGAACCTGGCCGCCTGACACGAAATCGGCACCGCACATTCGCCTACTCTTTCAACATCCGCTAGAACTTCTCCAGTGCAAGCACTGGTTGGGGAAAAGCGAGCACAGAACACCAATACTTAGCACAATCCTCTGCAAACGAGTCCCACCCTCCCATCTTTTCACGACGGAGCGCAATGTGATCTGATGCGTGGTGAGGACTGCAGCAGCCCCCGCCAACACGAGCCAACGTCGCCACCCTGGCTGCAGAAATCCTGGCGTTCGGCGGGGTTGATGGGGCCCGATCGATATTTTTTCGCGCACGCGTTTTCCCTTCTGCGGTGGTGCAGCATCGGCCGGTCAACGAGCAGCGGGATGCGCGAACTCTGATTGCACTCGCCCGCATGAGGATCGCGCACAAGCCGAGGCTGAGTACTCCAAGGCTGAAGGCAGACCGAGGCGAACCGTGCTGGAAAAGGAGGTATGGATGGAGAGCATGCAGCCGGACCAGCCCACGCGTCGCATCCAGTCTCTGTGACACACAAGCACACGCGCACGCTGACAGACAGACAGAGCGTCACAGGCACGCACTCAAGCAACACTCACCAAAGGTGGTCACATCACATATGTAAGCAATCACATTCATCAACAATGAGAGCCAAACCGCAAATGCACAAGAGGGGAAAAGAGCGATAGGCTGGAGGAATATGCCAAGAGGCGGCCAGGAAGAGAGGTGGAAGAGGGGTGAGGTAAGAGGAACGAGACAACAGGAATGAGGACAAAGTGGCAGGCGAGGGTTGGAAAGGAGACATGTGAGGAAGGGGATGAGGGTTAGGAGGAGGACAAGGAGGACGCAGAGGGTGCGAGGTGAAAGGAGAAAGAGATGCAAGATGAGGACGAGAATGTGCTCGGGGGAGGTGCCAGGGAAGCCGATGGATGATGAGGTCCCCGAGGCTCCCCGCTGGCCCCGCGCCGCCCCAGGTCGCTGGGACAGGAGCTGTGCGTTCGCCTTCCCCCCGTAGTTTATGAAGGCCTCTTCTCCCTGGAGGACCAGCGGCATAGAGGGGACGAGGGCGAGGAAGAGAAGGAGGAGGAGGAGGAGAAGGAGGAGAAGGAGAAGGGGGAAGAGGGCGGAAATGGAACCAAGGAGAAAGTGTATGAGGATGATGGGGATACTCAAACGGGGAGGCGGACGGGGAGGCAATATCAAACATATCGGGTGTATGCGGTATTACACACATCGGTGTACGAGAGATACAGGAAAGCAGAACGCCAGGAGGGGGCTAAAATGGTGAAACAGGACGAGGAGGAGAAGGAGCAAGCGAAGGAGTGGTGTTTCTCCTTGTACCCTCTCCCACGAGAGCTTCTTGCAAAGGCAAGGTGCTGCAACCCAAGGCCACACCAAGCGAAAATCAGCACGGCGCACGGTCGGATTGAGGAAATGGGGGTGGAAGGAGAAGAGGGAGAGAGGTGACGGATGAGGATCGCCGCGCACGTCCAAGGTGTGGCTGCGGCAGACGAGACGACGGTGACCACTTCAACCTTGTGTCCTGCCATGGGGATGAAAGCAGAGACGGGAATGTGATGACTGCGGCGACAACGGCGTTATGTTTCGAACTTTTGATCATCAACCACGTGTGAACATGTAAAGACAAACTTGAATAACTCTTCGGACATGTTAAGCCCGTTCGGAAAGCAAGGCACTGGGTAGCTGCGGGAGGTTCTTGAAGTGCCCGTCCTTGTCGTAATGCTTGTGCGCGTATGCAACGATGCCGTTGCCGAATCGGGTCAGCTGCAGTGCCCCAGCCTGCAACATTGGCGTCTCTGCCGCCGCCTCTCCTCTCCCCCTTCTGCCCTGCTCCTCCTCTCCTCTCCTCTCCTCTCCTCTCCTGTCCTCTCGTCTTTGCCGCCTCCTCTCTTCTCCTCTTCTCTCCTCTCCTCCCCTTCCTCAGTATCCAATTCTGAAGCGTGAGCTGTTCTCATGTTGCCGCTCAAGGCCAAACCTACTGTTGCGTGCAAATCAAATCCTTGTCAGAGCCTGTCTGCGTCCTCCCATGTGCAGCCCATGTGACTGCCGCGCGCCCCCTCCTGCGGAACGTCCCTTGCGACGCCGTGCAAGGGGGGGAAGGGGGGGGATGGGAGGTTATGGGTGGGAGGTTGAGGGAGAGGGGGGGGGGGGAATCTGCTGCCCTCTTATCCTACGTGTCTATTCTGCCTCTCAGTGCTCAACAAGCGACTTTGAGCACACCATCGCGACTATCATTGACTTAATTTCTGATGGCGGAGGCAAGAGCAAGCTGCGCCATCCTGATGGTTCAGGAAGTCCACCAAGGGAGGCACCGCCAAGAACGAGCCGTCCTCCGCAAGAGGCGCAGGGATCAGGCGAGCTCCCACACGGCGGCTTTCAGTGCGCCCCGAATCATGTCGAAACGTGGCAGATCCCTGCCCAGAAGACGTGGCCCTGGTCTCTGTCTCCGCGTGCATCGTTCAACCTTAGAAGATCTCGGCAGTCGGTGGACCCTGGAGGCTGCCACTGGACTTCAATCTTGACCCGCCGCGGCTACGTTGCCGCCGTGCCGCGACCTTCATAATCGTCCCCCGTGTCCGGTTTTTTAAGGCACCTTTCGGGGAGGCTGGGGGGTCCGGTTCAATAAGGCGTTTTCTTGAAGCCGACGTTCAGGGGGGTTCGGTTTATTAGGGCGTCTTTTGCGCACATGCAATGTCCCACCACCCTTACGCACCATGGCCTTGAGAACCAGATGGGTTTTCGACATACGTGGGGCTCCTCGCACTTTCTGGCCTGCTTTGTTGGGGGTCGGGCCTTTTTCGATCCTAGGATTCCGTGCGCCTCGCAAATACTTTGCGGGGGAACATCGATACTAGTAGCCCTTGCGCCCATCATGTTGCTCAACAGCGTGGGCGAACCTCCACTTTGGCAACGGCGTCTACTTATCGTCACCGTTATCCACGAGGTTACTACCGTCATGAACGATTGCGCTCGCAATGTTTCTGGGGGGGGTCCAGAATATTAAGGCACCCTCTGCCGAGAGGGGTCCGGAAAATTATGTCGCGAAGGAGGGGGGGTCCGGTTTTTTAGGGGGGTCGATTATTAAGGGATCCAGAGTATCGTATGTGAGGAGCGCTGCAGTCAAAGGCAAACTCGAGGATGGCCTCCTCCTTCTCCTCCTCTGCCTCCTGTTCCTCTTATGCCCTTGAAGGAGGAGGAGGAAGAGCGTCCTTCGTCTGTCTCGATCACCAAACTTCGCCAGAG